GTTTTGTTTGTAGAGAATGTGGTACTGAGTAGGACCTGAACTTTAACCATGTGGAAGGCTTGGACTTTATGGTTGTATACCTAGGAGGCCCTGACACCAAGTTGAATATATGCATGCATTCATATGTGCATGGCTTTGACTGTAGAGGAGAGATGCCATGCAGGTGCCCTCTGAGATAGTATATTTGTGATTTACAACAGAATATTTATTAAAATAACATAGTCAAGATACAATGGAGGAGAGCATCTTGGTGGCCAAAGAACTGGGTTTCTTATGGACTGCACTGTCCTCTCATTTCTTTGTAGCTTACACAGGGATTCAGGGATCACAATGGAGTGTGCATGGAGCAGGAAAACAGTGCTCTCAATGCATGGAAAATACTCTTCTTCATCAGCTTCCAGGCCCTGAGTGACCTGGATCTAGAAGTTGTAGGTTCATCCTAGGGATGGTCATTTGACTTGTTGGGCCTCATAAATGGTTCATCTGTAGGGAAGCCAATGTTCAGAAACCACGTGGGTGCTCCATCCAGGGCTGATTCAAATGAGGAGAGTTGAGGAGGCAGGCTGATCACAGAATTCATGTTTACTGCAATGTGTTGTGTAGCACTGTTGGTGACATTAGCCATCAGGACATCTCCATCTGGGGTTGCTCATCTGCACAGGGCATGTTGAGTATGGTGTAACTTTGGCTTCTTTTGCCTCTTCCTTCCATACCTTCCTCATGAAAGTGTCTCTTCCCATCTTCTATACTTGTTGGAAAAGCTGGTTCACTGGTTCTCTTCTTCAAGGGGTGCAGAGGGCAAAGAGCACCTATAGGGCTGCCATTTAACCAGGGCTTGAGAATGCCAAGATTAAAGCCCAGATCCATCAACACATGGCAGTTTCTGTTTTCTTTTAACCATAAATACTATCCCAACACTGAGATTCATCTCAGATTTCCCGCTGTTGCCCAGAGTAAGGGTAGATTGTGATCAGGTAGGGCTTTGGGATAGGGAGTGGTGAGTGGAAAGTTCCTTGTGAATTACAGCCTGCCACCCTCCCCTCTTTCCTTGATGTTGGCAACCCCAAGACTTCCCAGGCTCTACCTTTATGCTTGTAGCCCATAGGAAGTGCCACTCTCCTGTCCCACCCCACAACATTGCCAGATGTGTCTCCCAGCAGTTCAAGCAGTGTGGCCACAGCACATGAGCCCCAAGTTAGGGTCTGGTATGTGCACCTAGGACCTCAACTGTTTTGGGTTGACAACTGGTTCTGCAAGACCAGCTCCTCCATGTGCTCCATCAGCTTGTAGATAGAGTAATTGTGCCTTTATTGATTTATGTGTCTTGAATGATCCAAACATCTATGGGATGAAGCCAGTTTGATCATGGTGGATACTTTTTTTTGTCAGATTCAATTGATTCATCTGTTGTTTGGTTTTGTTTTGTGTTTTGTTTTGTTTTGTTTTGTTTTTTAACTTCAGTTGTTTTTGAAATACGAAAAAAAATCATTTATTTTACACAACTATCAACACCTGACTTCCCTTCCACTACCCCTCAGCTTCTCACTCCAAGCCACTCCCATCTCCTCTTAGAAGAAGGCAAGAGCCTCCAATGGGGAGGCACATCCAGCAGAGGAACATCCAAGCCCTTCCCCTGACTCAATGCTGCATCATGTTCCCAACATTGGTAGTGGGCTCCAAAAAGCCTGCTCATACACCATGCATGGATTATGATCCTACCACAGGGGGCCCCCAAGCAATCAAGCTACATAATGTCTTGCCATGCAGAGGGCCTAGTCCAGGCCCATGCAGGCTCCACAGCCATTGATCCAACTTTCATGAGTTCCCACTAGTTTGGTTTGGTCGTCCCTGCAGGTTTCCCCATCATGATCCTGATGCATTTGCTCATAGAATCCCTCTTCTCTGTCTTTGACTGGTCTTCTGGAGCTCTGCATGGCATTTGGCTTTGATCTCTGCATCTGCTTCCATCAGTCATTGCAGAAAAGCTTTGTGATGACATTTAGGGTATTCACCAGACTGATATATGAGGCAAGCCAGGTTACTTCAGGCACCATCTCCA